TGGGACACACACACAGGCTCTCCCTGGGACACACACACAGGCCCTCCCTGGGACACACGCACACAGGCCCTCCCTGGGACACACACACAGTCCCTCCCTGGGACACACACACAGTCCCTCCCTGGGACACACGCACACAGGCCCCTCCCTGGGACACACGCACACAGGCCCTCCCTGGGACACACTCACATAGGCCCTCCCTGGGACACACACACAGAGCCCTCCTCAGGACACGCACACAGGCCCTCCTCAGGACACACTCACACAGGCCCTCCCTGGGAGACATGCACACAGGCCCTCCTCAGGACACACGCACACAGGCCCTGTCCTCTTTGGGGCCCAGCTCTCCCCAGGGCCGGGGAGGCCCCAGCACAGCTGCCCCGTTTTCACTGTCTGCCTCCCTCCTCTCTCCATTCTGCACTGCAGACACCACTAACTGTATGGAAATGATGACGGGGCGGCTTTCCAAATGTGGTAAGAACCCCTCACCCACCTGGCACCGTGGCCTGCCACCTACCCCCACCCAAAGCCCGCCTGGCCAGTGCTGCCTGCCCCCGTGCGCCCTGGGGCCCTGTGTGTGCACAGCCACCCCCTGGCCTGCTGGCCCTGCCCAGTCTGCTAGGAGCAGCCTCACTCAGCTATCCTGGCAGTGCTTGGTCGGGCCCCTGCTCCTCGCAGTTAGGGAGTGCTGAGCACGGGCGGTGACTGGGGGCCAGGGCCTGTGGGCTCAGGGGGCCAGGGCGGGTTTAGAGGGGCGTCCGTGCGGGGGCCTGCCCTCCAGCACCCCACCATCCGTCATCTGTGTGTCCGCTGCTGCGTGTGCTGGCTGAGGGCGCCCATCAGGCCTCCTGAGCAGGGCACCCTGCCCCGGGAGGGCGGGGGGCTGGGCACCCCCGCCCCGCTTGCCGCTGCGCCCCGCGCCCTGCCCCGGGGTTCTCTCTCTGCAGGCCCCTTCGTTCATCTGTTTGTTTGTTCTCTCTCTCCTTCCCCCCTCCCTCCCTCTCCCCCATTTTCGTTTCTTTTCTCTTTTTGTCTTCTGTTCTGTATACCCAGGCAGCCCATTGAGTAACTTCTTTGACGTAATTAAACAACTTTTTTCAGACGAGAAGAATGGGCAGGCGGCCCAGGCCCCCAGCACGCCCGCCAAGCGGAGTGCCCCCGGCCCCCTTGGGGACCCCGCGGCCCCCGGCCCTGGAGGGCACGCCGAGCACCCGACGGGCGAGGACGCGGCCCGCCGCCAGCAGCCTTAGCCACTAGCCCCCCACGCCGCCCCCAGGACCGGCCGGAGCCCGGGAGGAAGGAGCGGCCGGGGGCCTGGCCCACTCCTCTCGCGCGCGCCCCCGCCCCTGCCCGTCACTCATGACGTCGCTTGTTTCCGCTCTGATACCAGGAATTCTCCCGAAAAGTTAACATGTCACCTCCGCGAGGCCACCCCCGCGCCGCGCGTGGACGCTGGCGGACCGAAGGCAGCGCCACGACCCAGCCGCCCGCGCCGCCCCGGCTCCCGACCCTCGGAAGCAACAGCCCGGCCCGCAGCCTCTCCTCGGCGCCGGCCCGCCGTGCCCAGGGCCGGCGGACACCAGTATTATTTATTTGCTATTTTAATTTATTGAGCTTCTCGACTTCTCTGTTCAGGGAAGGGGCGGCGGCGGTGCCCGCCTGCCGTCTGTCGGTCTGTGTGCGTGTGTGTGTGTCCCGGGCAGGGGGGTCCGGAGCCGCCGAGGGGGGCGAGGGCTCGCGGGGCGGGAGGGGGGCGAGCCACTGTACACTTTAAAGAATTCCTGCAAGATATTTTTATAAACTTTTTTTTCTCGGTTGTTTTTGGAAAGGGGCTGGGGTGGGGTGCCAGGCAGGGTGCCCGCCCTGGCAGTTTCTACGACAGACACAGGTCTATATTTACAGAACATGGCTCCCCCATTCTGGGGCTCAACCCCAAGAGTGAGGGCGGGGCAGGGGACCCCCACACGAAGGCAAGGGCACTAGGGCTTGCTCTCTTGTTTTTTTTTTTTTTTTACTAAAATGACAAAAGATTAAAAAAAGAAGAAGAAAAAAACACACAGACGACCACCATGTGGACTGCAGAGTTGGCGGCGCGCGGCGTCCGCCTGCAGGGGTCCCTGGCCACGCGAGGCCGAGCGGCAAGCCCACCGTCGCCACCGCCAGCTCGCCTCCCTGCTTCTCGCGATCTCCAGCTTCCACCCAGCCCGCCCGGGCCTGTGCCGCGGCGGGGGCCCAGGGCCGTGCATGCCTCCGCCGGGGCGCCCTCCCGCTCCGGGCGCGGCCCGCCTCCGGGTGTAGGTTTTAATGCTCTGTCACCTTCGACCTCCACCACAGGCTGCAATTTCTAGTCACAAAGCAGACACCTGCACGGCAAAGCCAGGCAGTCCTAGCGGGCCGGGGCCCCTCACGGAGACAGACGCCGAAAGCAATACCTCTCGCTCGCCTGCCCTCTGGTCCCGCGGGCTCCCGCGGGCATCATGGCCGTGACGGGCCCCACCCAGTGTACCCTGTCACACGACTGTGAGCAACTTCAATTCCGGAACAATAAATTCCTTCAGTAAACACTCCGGCTGCACTTTCCATCCAGGGTCAGGTGGGGTGGGCTCTGGGACCACCGCAGGTTGAGCAGTCAGGGGCAGGGGCGGCAGGGTCCAAGTGTGTTGTCCCCACCCCTGGCAGCTTGGTGGGCACGGCGTCACGCCCACCTTCCTCAGGAAGTTTATTCCTGCTTCCTTGGCAAGTCTTCATAGGGTGTCAGACCTGGCCCTACAGGGGCTGTGGCATCTGGGCCCCCGCAGCTCAAGTTCCAGGGCAGGGCTTGGCACACCTCGTGTGGCTGCCTCCAGAACACCAGAGGGCACATGGGCTGGGCCACCGCAGAGTCCCCGGCATCAGGCTCTTGGGTGGAATCGTGCCATGGTGTATCTTAGCCTGATGGAGAGGAAAACCTTGTCCCTCAGAGCAAGGCACCAGGCTGAGGTCCCTCCCCTGCAGCTGGCAGCTGGCCTGAGCCACCATCTGCAGGTGGGAGGGGATGCCTGGAGAAGGGGCTGTGCTCCATGCAGCTGGGAGGTGCAGCAGCAGGGCTGTGGAGACAGGTACGGGGTTGTCGGCATGGGCCCCCTCGGGGAGCTCAGCCCAGCACGTCCAGTCTTCCTGCTATATGCAACCCCTCGGCCCTTGCTCCAGGCCTCTGGCCCACGCTCCACCACCTGCCGGAGTGCCTACCACAGTCGGCAGCCAGCCAAAGGAGGGCCGGTGCTGGGAGGGGTGGCTGCTGGCAGGCTTGGTACCGGCCCGACCACCTCTCGCCACAGTTCCTAGCCAGCGCCGATGCAGCATCTTCAAGTAGAGGTTCATCTGGCAGAACCAGACCGGTGCCCCCGATGTGTGGCTGCCAGCAGCTCTCCTGGGCCCCTCTGAGGAGCCAGGAGCAGAGTCGGGCCTGGCCCTTAGCCACTCTGCCACCCTGGGCAGCCCTCAGCGCTCCCAGCATTGCAGCAACCTTCCCCCAACATGGCCACACTAGGAAGGGGCCGGGCAGCCTACCCGGAGGCCCCACAGCTCCATTCACCAACCCCCGCACTGCCTCAGCTCAGGTGTGTGGGGAGCAAACCAGCAGCACACCAGTGGATGGTGGGGGATGGCGCTGCTCTGCCAGGCTCCCACGATACCCAGGCCCAGCCGTGTCCTGCCTGCCGGCGTTCACCGACAGGCCTCTGCTGCAGCCAAGCCATCCCCACCTGGGGTGATGCTGGGGCCCCGGCTTTCTGTGTGGACTTTCCCTAAGCCCCCTCTCACCTGCTGTTGCCCCAGCTGAGGTGAGGGAGCCACAGGCGCCATGCAGTGTCTGCTGCAGCCCAGGTGGCCCCAAGTCCCGATCCGCATGCCAGCCCCCCGGCATGTGGCAGCTCTTTCCCCCTCAAGTGCATCAGGAGCCAGGCCATGCCTCCACGCCACCAGGCCGCGCCTCCACGCCACCAGGCCGCGCCTCCACGCCACCAGGCCGCGCCTCCACGCCCGTGCTGAGCGCACCCAAGGCCTACTTCCCACCCAGGCTGCAGAGGGTGATGCCCACTCAGCTGTCCCGTGGCCAAGGGCGAGATTAGGGTCACCAGGGTCAGATGACGCTCCCCTGCAGGGCCCAGCCACCTCTGTGTTGAAGATTCTCGGGTGCTGTCCGAGTTAAGCTGGGGTCACCTCCTGCAGAAGGTGGCAAAGCCCACTTCCCAGCTCCAACACTGCCCCCTGCTGGGACGGGGTCCATCCACTTCTCACCAGTACTGACCCCATGGACTCAGAGCCCCACACACATTCCTGTTAGCACACTGTGCTAGAATTCAGGACAGGCCTCATTGGGGGGAAACTGAGGGTTCCATCCCGAGAGGGTACGGCAACTCCACGGCTGAGCGGGCGAACACCCTGGAGGGCTGGGGATGGCCTCGTGGGCCCACTGTGCAGTGAGGGGCTCTCGTGGGCCAGCAGCAGGACCAGCCGTCGGAGCTGGGCCGCACTGCACTGCCCAGGCTGAGGGGTGCGGTGAGACGACACTGTGTTCAGGATGAGGCTGGTGGCCTGCTGGGCCAGCCGCGCGGTGCTGGGATGGCAGCACCGTACGTGGGCCTGGCTGGGGCAGGGCTGAACACCCCGGGGTCAGTACTGGGAGAACCACGCCTCATCGGCAGGTACAGTGGGTAGGGCAGCTGTGCGCTGGCCTCTTCCTCCCTCACCCACCTGGACCATGGACTAGCTGCAGGTCTCAGCTCAGATGCCTTCGCTGGGTTCTGGAAGGGGCTCAGGATGTGGCACAGTTACCCGGGTATGGCCATGGTGGAAGGGCAGGGCTGGGGCACCCTTCACAGGAAAGGAACAAGCACTTCTCCCCTCCCCATCTGGGCACAGCAGGGAAGGGCAGCAGCCACCATGGGGCAGCCGTGGGAGATCCCCACACCCTCAGAACAGGCCCCCGAGATGCTGAGCACGCACACCAGGCCCTGACCTGAGAGGATCCTCTTTATTGTGACTGACCGGACACACCCAGGCCCAGCTCCGCCTCTGTTGGCCCGGTGTCTTCCTGGGGCCCGCATACCAGGACCCCTCCTTGGGTGCCAGGAGCAAGCAGCAGTGTGCACCCCCCAGGCCACAGAGCCCCACCAACAGGCAGGCCCAGGCCAGGCAGGGAGCGGGTGTGGGTTGGGGGCCTCTGGGAAAGCAACCCCACCCTTCAAACAGAGCGGAGCCCCTCCCACCAGGCAGTCCACTGACCCACAGAGCCCTGGGCAGGGGTGGGGTCTGCGGGGAGACCAAAGGGAAGCTCTGCAGAGGGACAAGCCGCAAGCCGCCAGTCTGGCAGTGTCGAATGAATGAACGGGTCCACGCTCGTCCCAGCACACGGCACTCATCCGCCCAACGGGGCAGCCAAGAGCACGGCCGGCCCTCAGTGTCAGGCTCCCCTCCGCTCGGCACGGCCCGGGCCCCAGGGCCTCTCTGGGTAGCGCGCACGGCACCTGCACACGGCCACGCGGCCTGCCCCCTGCACCTGTGTGCCTCGGTCCGGCCCGCTCATCTCTCCTTCACGTGGTTCTGTGCCCCCGGGCCCCCGCCCCCGCCGGGGCTGCCGCACAGCACCTCCGTGAGGTCGTCCATGACCGCGGTCTCTTTGGGGTCCAGCAGGTTGAACTCCCTGGCGAAGAGCATGAAGTGTGCGTACAGTGTGTTCAAGTGTGCGTGCAGCTCGAGGGCCAGCGTCTCCTTGAAGTGGGCCCAGTAGATGTGGCCCAGCACGTGGAACAGGAGTCTACAGATCTTCTTCACCAGCGACTCGAAGGAGCTGGGGAACTCCCTGCCTGCAGGAGACGGAGGGAGCCCTGAGCTCGCCCCTCACCTCCTGCCGCCCCCCGGGACCGTCCCCGCCGGCCGGGACTGAGGCACGTCCCCGTGTGCCTGTGTCGACCCGAGCCAAGCCTGGCAGCACAGGGCGGGCCCACGGCCTGGCACCGAGGCCCAGAGCCACGTACCATACTTGGTGGGGAAGACGTCCTCGTCCGTCACCAGTTTCTGCACGGAACTCATGACGAAGTCCACGTACTGCGGGGCAGTGCACTTGACCTTCTTGCCCCGCTCATCATACCAGTAGTACTGTCTGTGGGGACAGAGATGTGGTCAGGGCTGCCCCAGCAGCAGGGGGACGCCTCCATCCCAGGAGAGGGGCTAGGGAGGGCAGGCCGCAAGCAAGGGTGGACCGGAGATGCTGCTGGGGCCAGGAGGGCCCGCCTTCCCCTCACAACAAGGACAGGGCCATCACCCTGGGAGCCCTGCTGGCCTGAGCGTTGACACCAGGGATACCCACCCACACCACTGTGGGCCTCTGGCTGGAGAGTTACATGGGCACTGGCTCCCTTCACCCTCCTGGGGCCAGGCAGAGTCGTCTCCTTGCAGCGCCCCTCCTCTCACTGGCCCTGGTCCCTACCACTCCTGGTGTCAGGGCTCACTCAGCACCCCTGGAGACCCTGCTGGCCAGGGAGCGGGCCCTCCTGACGCTCAGTCATCCCCACCGCACCCCTGCCCCTCCTGTCCAAGCAGGTGGCCCTGATGTCACGGCTGTACCCTGGCTTTGGAGAGACCAATGGCCACAGTGCAGACGTGGACAGCTTGGGGCACCCTCGGGTAGCCTACCCCGAAGCCCCAGGCACTGCCAGTGAGAGGCCTGCTGGGGCCAAAGACTGACAACTTTCCGCAGGCAGGCAAGCAGACAGCTCTCCCAGGAGCACGAGGGTCACTGAGGGCCCAAACTCACAAGAAATTAGGAAACCACGGTCGACGAGGGCTGCCCGTATGGGTCCCCCAAACAGCAGATCCCTGTGCTGTGTGGCGGTAGGTACAGGCACAGGTGCACTGGCTACCCTCAAAAGTACCCTCTGATCGGAAAGCTAAGGACCCTGCTGTTGTGAGTGAGGGGTGGGCAAGTCTGTGATGTACACTGGGTGCTGGCCGTCCTGCCCCCTGCCCTCGGCGTGGACCTGCAGCCCATCTCTGGGTGCTGGCCGTCCTGCCCCTGCCCTCGGCGTGGACCTGCAGAGTTCTATGTGTTGGATGACGGAGCTCAGCCTGTCAGCTCCTTCTCATCGTGGGCTCCTTAGTGTCCAGTCAGATGACCATCCAGAATTGCACGCATGTGCACCTGTGCCTGGCCCATATGCACATGCGCCCACGGGGTAACTGCAGGGCGCTGCTTCAGTTACACCATCTCACAGCCCAAACCTCCGGACTAGGGGACCCATGTGATGCTGGGATGCCTGCTATGGTCACAGGGGCTCCCTAACTGGGTGGCATGTGTCAGCAGAGTGGTTGGGCTGGCCTTTGGGGAAGCCCCCAGCCCACCCTTATGTCCAGTACCTCTTTCTGTAGCTGCCATCAATGGTGCCCCACGATTTGCAGTTGCTGGGGTCAGGACATGGACTATTATTATTGTTTTTTGGGAAGGATGTTACACATGCGTCTCTGATTAAGGTGGGGAAGGCTGAGGGTTGACGAAGGTGAATGGAACATGTTTCCCCAGAGCTGAAGGAGTCACTGGGAGACATCTCAGAGACCCCGCAGTGGGGAGAGGCCCGAGGGGGTCGGCTTGGAAGGGCCCGAGATGTCCTGGGCTTCACCGCCTCAGAGACCCCGCAGTGGGGAGAGGCCCGAGGGGGTCGGCTTGGAAGGGCCTGAGACGTCCTCGGCTTCACTGCCTCAGAGCTGAGAACAGCTTTCCAAGGTCTAGCGGCCGAGCAAGTCCACCTTAGTGCACCACAGGCCCAGACGCTGTAAAACTTGGCCACGAGGCCGGTCCAACCTGCGCTGCTCTGCGTTCCGACGAGGCGCTCAGCATCCTCTACTGGCCTGGAGGAGCTGCCCATCATACCCCCCCCCCCGCGTGCATCTGGGCATTCTGGGTCACCCGCTCCCCCTGCTGGTCAGTGTACTGAGCAACTGGGCCTACCGGGCTCAGGACCCTCCGCAGGGCTCGCATCCGGGGCCTTTCCTCCTTCCCCTTTTCTCAGACCTCAGGCTTGTGTCCTCCAGGCACGACACAGTGGGCTAAGCTGCCACCGGCCAGTCTTGAGGCCCCGCGGCTCCCTGCTGGTGCTCCTGTTCTCGGGCTTGGGCCGTCGACCCTGCCCGGTGCACCCCTTGCAGAGTGTACCAGAGATGGAGCAGCTCATCTCTTGCACGCCAACTCGGCCTTTCAAACAAACAAATCAAACGTCTCAGACCAAGCAAAGTGCTGGTCCCTCTCCTCCAAGCTACAGGACGTCTGTGTAAGTACGGTGTCCCCTGGACAGCCCTGCCTCATCCCTTATGCTGTCAAGTTCTACCTTCTTGAAACTATTTACTTAAGAGGCTCAGCAACTGTGGTGGGGGGTGGTTAAAAGGGGAGATGTGGTGAGAGCGAGCCTTCCACCTTCTTGGCCACAGCAGCTTACAGGCGGCCAGGCTGGAGTCAGCAGCCAAGAGCTCCATGCAGGACTTGGGGCCATCCCCCGCTGCCCTCCCAGACACATTAGCAGGGAGCTGAATCGAAGTGGAGAAGCCAGGACTCGAACCAACACTCACTTGGGATGCTGGTGCCCCAGCTGTTGTTATTTGAAAGGCAGAGTGACAGCCAAGACCTACAGGCACAGGTCGCCCCTGCTGGCTCACTCCCCAGAAGCCCGCAGCAGCCAGGGCTGGGCCTGCCAGGCTGTCCCAGCGGGTGGCAGGGGCGAAGTGAGCTCCCTGCTGCCTCGGGGCTGTCCCCACGGCTGGGCAGGGCGCCTGCCCCCAGCTCAGCGCTGCTACGCCCAGCGAAGCCGTTCTGCTGTTGTCACAGCCTTTCTTCTGCTTCATCCAAGTTTATTTTGCTTTTTCTAGACGACTGAGATGGAAACTCGGGCTTGACTTGGCAATAAGCCCTCAGGGCCGAGTGGGCCAGGACGCGCGTCCCTGCTGCCTGCCTGGTCACGCTGGCGCATGCAGGTGCCCGGTGGTCTTTCCGGTTCCATCTCAGTCCACAACTGCCCCGCGTGATCTACACTGTGGACTCCTGTCTGTGCCTCGCACCTGCAGGGACAGGGCCACGCCTTGGGTCTCATGTCCCACCTGTGGCGTGGGGACCCACAGGCAGCCAGTGCTCCACCAGTGCCTTCTGGGTTCCCTGCAGCCCCGTCATCTCTTTCCCTGGCTTTTTGGCTTCCTTCTTATCTGCTGAGATCACAGCCTGAACATGGGGCGACCCTGAACGCTCACTGTCCTGCCCATGACCATGGAGGTGCTGAGGTCATGAGGTGCCATGGCGAGAACCCATCTGAGCAGCTGGGGGACTCCGGCGCTGTGCCTTGGGCCTTCTGGCTGCCACAGACCAAGCTGACGGGGCCGGCAGACTAGCTGTGCCATGACCCTACCCCCTTCCACCCTCACCAGAAGCTGACGTCTGCTCCTACGTGTCTGGCATTGCCTTGGGAACCCAGAAGTGGCCCTTCCAGCGCCCCCTCTGCCAGCCCCCAGGCTCCCTGGGCTGCAAGAGTGTCATGCCACTGTCCTCCAGTTGCCATGCTGAGCTTCCTTCAGTACCGGTGTCCCTGTGGAACACCTCCAGCTGGGACGGGGTCCTGCCTCCCACCTCCTAGGCCCCTGGACGGCGTGTGGTCAGCAAGCGGCTCTGTCCCGGGAGGCTCCTCCCTCCAGCAGGATACAGGGAGGTAAGTCTCTCAGCTGTCTGGTCACCCCAAGGGCCAGAGGCATCTATGCCAACATGAATGCCATTCTCTCTTCCAACACACTGCCACCACGCCGGCGGGAGCTGAGGGAGCTGGCGCTGCCCAGTGTGGCCCAGGGCTCCGCCTGCTCCTCGCGCTCCATCTCCACGGGGACCTGCGGGGGCCGTGAGCCGGGGCTGGGGTGACTCACGTGTTGCACACGGCCATGGTCTGGCACGTCTCCCCCGTACAGAACTCCGAGACTGTGCTGTACTGCAGGTTGATGTGATGGAAGAAGGTCGTTGCTACAAGAGAAGGAGCCGGAGTGAGGGCGTGGCCCCGTCACCCTGGCACCGCTGCTGCCGGCTGTCCCAGGGAGCTCAGCCTGGACACAGGCCCACCCCCCGGGGGCGCCAGCTCGGGGGTCCTCCCACCGCCCACGCACTGTTGCTGGCCAGCCACTCATTGAGGTCGATTTCCCGGGGCAGCACCACCAGCTCCTTGAAGGCCAAGTCGACGATGCGAGACGCGGCGTGCTCAGGCTCCAGGTAGGCCTTCTTCTCCTCGGCGCCTGGCTTCTTCCCGTTGGGCTTTGCTTTGGACTTCCTGTTGGACAGAGGGGAGGCGTGGTCAGCAGGTGGGGCCCAGATCCCGGGGACACCCTGGGCACACCCTCTCTCCCGCTCACTCCCCAGCCAGCACCGGCCGTGTTCAGGGCCCTCAGGCCTGCTCCAGTGGGACTGCCGAGCCGGCCCTGCTGGGGGCTGTGTTCCCAAGGAGGGGCAGGCTGATGGGGCCTGCCAGGGCGTGGGCACCCAGCCCCTCAGGAGACTCAGCGGGCCAGAGGGGGCGCACCTCGGGAGACCTCAGGGTACCCCCAAGTGCTGGTCCAGCACAGCATCAGCCTGCTCCTCTGAGACAGAGCCCATGGTGACAGCTCCGCCTGCACACCAGGACCTCGGCCCTCAGAGGCCTCCAACTCGCTGCCAGTGCCCGAGCTGAAGGCAGGGGCCCTGGGCACTGCCTCCCTGGCGGAGCAGTCCCTCCCACACGGGAGGCTGACAGAATGAACGGCTGTCCCGTGAGGGACACTGGGAAATATGTCTGTCACTGTTGACAGGGTAAACACCCCCGGAAAGCTGCTGCAGGCCGGCTGTCCCACCTGCACATTCACTCCTCAGTGGACTCAGACGGCAGCCCCTTCAGGAGGAAGCCACCGAGTGTCCTGTGGGCCTGGGAACACCTGCAGAAAGCTGGCTGGGAGCATCCTCGCTACACCACCTGGCACTGGGAGGAGCTACGGCAGCCAGGAGGCTTCCTGACCGAGGCACCCCAGGGAGCTCCTGCAGGGCTGGCCAGCTTCACTCCAGGGGCCCCAGCTGGTGACACCCCTGCAGTCTCCTGACCCTGCAGGCTGGGCCCCTAAGGAGGCACTGGAAGGCAACTATCTTCCTGACCACACGAGGTCGCTGGAGAGCAACCAAGAAGACACATGCTTCGCCCGACTCCCAGCAGGCAAGAGGAGTGCCAGGCAGGCCCAGCCCCACGGCCGGGGGTGCGGCACCACTGACCCCGTCCCAGCGCAGGGGAGCAGGCAGGCCCGTGCTGGACCCAGCTACCAGGACACAGTGGCGCAGCAGCCCTCCCTACGCCTGCCCCGGGGGTCTTCACATCACCCTGAGCCCATTCTGGCTTTCTTCTGTTTGGAAAGGCTGCTGGTGGTTTATTTAAGCAAGAGAGGAAGGAAAAATGCTCCTTGGGTGCCAGGGGAATGCTCTCCTTTCTGCGTCTCACAGCCGATCTTCGCCTTAAAAGGCGACGTGTGTCCAGCCTCCAGGGCAGGGTCCAGAGTGGCCGGAGCCAGCCAGGGGACAAGCCACGCCTGTCCCAGACTGAGGCAGCAGTGCCACACACACTGACAACCCCCTGGGAGCAGTGCTGGGCACAAGGGCTGCGCTGCCATGTGGCCCACGCCCCTGCCTGGCACACGGTGGAGCCTGGCCTTCCCTGGGGCCAGAGCCGAGAGGGGCTTGGAGGGACCCCAGCCGTCCCGGCCCTCAGCCTTCCGCAGACCCAGGGCTTTGGATGGCTGCTGCTCAGGGGTCCCCTGTGGGGAAGGCCGAAGCAGCCGAGGGCCCCACACCCACAGGACCCATGTCCGCAGGACCTGTGTGGGAGACACCCAAGCCCTGTGCTGGCCTTTGCTGGGTCGTGCCCAGGTTTGCCCACCAGTGAGTCTGGGCCTCAGTGCCGCTGGCTGATCTCACCCTGTGGGCTGCTGCAGACCCACTGGGCCAGCAGGCATAGACTGACTGACTTCAGGAGCCACGATCCCATGGTCGCACAGAGTGTGCAGCAGGCCCAGTGCACGTGTTCTGGGGTTTAAGAGCCTGGCCTGCTCAAGCGAGGATGGTGGCTCCACTCGGCACTGTGCTGGGACCGTGGTCCTGCGCTTGGGCCCGCTGGGAAGGCCACCCTAGGCCAGCAGTGAGCTGCCTGCACCCCCCGCCCCAGGCCAGGAGCGTTTCTGGTTCCTGGTTACCTATGTGTCTTGGGGCTCCGGCCTAGGTGCCTCGCCTCCTGCAGCAGCACCTCCCACCCTAGGACCTGTCTGGGCCCCCAGGGCTCTGTGTCTTCGGAGGGGTGGGGGTGCAGGCAGCAGAGGCGCCATGGGTGGTAAGGGGGTCTTGATGACCACGTCCTCAACTTCCCAGCAAAGGGGTATGTCCAGCCACCGTGTGCTGCCCCCCTGAGCCGGTCCACGGGGACTGCCTGTGCCTCCAGAGGACTGGCCCCCCAACAGAGCAGATCTCTGCACCCCACTGAGGCCTGCAGGCTCCATGGACCCAGAGCGGCGCCCAGGCCACCCTGCTGACGGAGCCCCTGTGGCTCCCTTCCCACTCCCCAAGGTCCAGCCAAGTCTCTGGCCGGGAGGTGGCTAACAGTCGGGGCTTGTCTGGACAGGACAAAGTACCCTGAAGGGACCGGGGCGCTGACACCAGCCTCGGCCCTGCCCAGGCAGCCCCCACTTCCCGGGAATGGAGTCCTCTGATAAAGTCCCAGGGGCCGCTGTCTGCTGGGCAGCTAGCCTCTGCTTGGAGGGCTCCATCTTGCCCAAGCCCACTCAGCCTCACGCACCAACCATCTCCTGACCCCCCGTCATCTTAGCTGGGGCCCTGGACAACGCATCCCAGTAAGACCAGCACAGCAGCTTCTCCTGGCCCGACAGTCCCCTTCCCCAGGCACCCTCACCAGAAAGGGCCCTACGTACGAGGGGCAGGCCTGCAGCACACACGGGGCTGTGTTGGCAGGAACACGGGCACGACCACCAGCCTCAGCCCTCCTCAGCCCGGGCCCGTGTCCAACACCAACAGCCACCGGGTCCCCAGCGGCATGGGCCTCTGCAGCCCTGCTGACCCTCACAGCATGGGGCAGGCCACCCTGAGCTCCAGGCCCAGGAGCCGTGGCTGCCTTCTCCCCTGGCACCTGCTGCCCGGGCCAAGCTCATAGCTGGGACTGCGCCCCCGACCCCAGTCCAGTTCTCACGTGGGGTTGGAGTCTTGACCAAGGCCTGAGCCCTGCACTTCTGATACCGCACTCTGAGCAGGTCCAAACTGCGTCACCTACGCTGCCTGGCTGCCAAGGCGGCAGCGAAGGCCAGGGGACTGACCCCTCCTGCACAGGCAGGTCCAGACAAAGTGCATTCTCTCCAGGCGCCAAGCCCGCACTGAGGAGCTGCCTGGCCGTGCAGACGGGCCCTGAGAGCCGGGGCCCACAAACCAGCACCTCACCCACCAAACCCCCCGGCTGTGTGGCCTGGCTCACCTGCAAGGCCTGCTGGGATGGAGGTGGCTCGGGGCCCCAGGAACCAGCCTGGCCTCCGTCTCCTGCAGCCTGGGCTCTGGCGTGCCAATCCTGCCCCTTCTCTGCCCTGAGCCCACAGGGCCCCCAGTCCCACACAGCCGCCCCAGCGGGTCTGCCACTCAGCTCTCTGGTGCCCACCTCCCACCTGCACACAGGTGTGCAGGAGGTCCAGGACTTAGCAGCCACTTGCCCACTTGGCAGGCGGAATGGCACAGGAAACAGGAGAGACCACGGGGAAGGAGTGGGATCTGCCCCCTCAGGTTTGCACGCCCCCTGCCAGGGGCAGCGGTGGTGAGGGGTACCAGTACCCCGCTCACGCGTGCAGGCCAGCCACTGCCTCAGAGCTCACAGCCCGGAAAGGAAGAGGTGAGAAGCAGTGGAACTCTTCGCCCCCGGCAGGGCAGACACCTCCCTGTACCCCACCTGCTGGCCTGTGCTCCGGAGACGCCTGCCTGGCTACCAGCCCACAGCGGCCACGACCTCACCTGGGCAGGCGGGCGGGCACAGGCTGGCTCCAGGCCAGGTTACCTGAGCACTCTGCTGACTGCCTGCAGCACCATCTTGCAGTGGAGTCCAGTTTTGGGGGGCTGGCCAAGCAGAGCTCGATCTGTGGGGGCAGCACTGCGGTCCCCTAGCATGCTGTGTGGGCGGCAGTGCGGTGCGGGATGGGCTGGCCTGAGGCTCGCTGCAGGCACCCGGCTGAGAGGCAGCCTGGCTGCTTAAATAAGAGAGCGGCAGAGGGGGGCGTGGCCAGGCAAGGCCCAGGGCGGGAACACTGCAGGAAGGGCAGCTCGCCATGCACCTGCAAGAGGCCCTTGCCCGCTCTTCCCTGGTCCCTGGGGGCCTGAGGGCATGGGGCTTGCCAAAGCCTCCCTGGTGGCTGGTGTGTACACAGGGGACCACCAGGGCCTGCTGGGGGTGGGGCTCTACCCTGTCAGTGTGGGCTGTGCACAGGTACAAGAAGGGGGGGCATCGGGCTGCCCAGACCCCCAGTGTCGACACCGTCAAGGAGGCAACGGCGAATGGCAAGACGTGTTGGTGTGCACCCCACGAGCTGCACAGACACAGCCATCCAGCCTCCCACGAGCTGTGCACACACATGTAAGCCCCTCACAAGCTCTGCTCCAGTGGATGTCTACATGTGCGAGTGCACACACACACACACACACAACGCCCTGCACACAGCAGCCTCTGCCTACCCAGCACACAGCCAAGGATGGCTCCCACAAGTGCAGAAAGGGGCTGTGTGCACAGCCCCCAGCGAGGGGGACACCCACAGGAGCCCCGCCTCATTTGCCCAGGCACTGCTGTGTGGCTGTGGGTGTCCGCACCACACTGGTCACAGCAGTTCCCTGGCCTGGCCTGAACCCCAAGAGCCGAGTCCCGGGCCCAGCTGCTCCTCGCAGCTTGGGTCCATAGCTGCAGCCTGCCAGAGGCTGCGATCTCAGGTTGGGCACTGGTGCTGTGAGGAAGTGTGTCCCAAGCATCCCCATCTGCGCGTTCCACCCTGCCCAACTGCACAACCTAAGCAGCGGTGCGCCCTGCAAGCCCACTGCCACCACAGCTCCAACGCGAGGAGATCCGAGAGCAGTCATCACTCTGTGAAAACAGAGGAAGGTTCTCCTGACCCCTCAGTTAACGGTGAGCTAGCACGGTACAGCGTGTCATGCTGCCACAGGCAATGGCTACAGTCCAACAGACAACAGTTTGAGTCCTGGCTGATGGCCTTGCTAATGGCAGGGAAGGAGGGCAGATGGACCAAGTCCCCAGGCCCAGCGGGGTGCTCTGGCCCGGGTCCAGCTCGGGCTAGCTGCAGCCACTGTGGCCCTTTGGACAGCGATTCAGCACATGGGAGATGTTTTCTCTCACGACCGGATTTCAAATAAATAAATAAATAAATAAATAAATAAATAAATAAATAAATAACACCCCCCCCCAAAAAAAAACTGAGCAGGGAGAAGGTGTGGTGCCCTTGAAGGCAGAAGAGCGACACTTTCAAGGCTTGTGCATAAACTACGGGCATGGGCAAGGCTGCAGAACAGGAAGGAGAAGCCTGCACCCCCAGGCTGTGCTCCGCTTCCCATCCACATCCCTGCCAGGGACCTGGGACGGTACCAGAGTGCGGCCCCAGTCCTTCAGACCCGGGGGAAGAGCCTGCGCTGGGCCCTGGCCTGGCCCAGCCCTGGACACATGGCACATGACAGAAATGAGCCCAGACACAAGGGTGCAGAAACACCCACAGGACTTACCCCACAGGGCAGTGCTCTGCAGTGGCGGGCACGGGGGGCAGGGGGAGGGACCTGGTGCAGCCGCCAGCAGGTGGGTACCACCCCTCCAGGAGCCCCAATAGGCCCGCTCCAGCACAGCCTTCACAGGAGCACGCGACACCGAGGGCCTGGCAGCACCGCGCGGTCTGCACTCTCACCCGCACAGAGCTCCATAGGAACAAAACCATCACACCAGGAAGCATGCCGAGGGTGCCGGGGTGTGGGGCAGGGGACACCATGGCCCCACACCTTGACAGCCACACTGCGGCACGTCGGAGGATTCCACCAACTGCAAGCTCTGCCAGGCTGGGCAGAATCTCACCAGAACCCCAGTCACACACACCCAATGGTCGCTGCATGGGATGGGCGCCCTAGTAAACATGCAGGATGGAGTGTGGTGGTGGCGGCTGTCTGCTGTGCTCCACGTGTCCCCACGTCTCCTCAGGCCTGGAGGCAGGTGCACGCCAGGAATGTGGCATAACGGACATGCAGAGAATGCAGCCACAGTATGGGCTGCACACACTGCGGGAGCATCTGCCAGCTCTACTCTCCCCAGCTTCTTGCCCAGTTTCCTACCCAAAATAATAAAATAAAAGGGAAACCAAAGCAAAGGCCGTAGTCCCACATGCACATGCAGGACACCCCTCATGGGCTGCCCTGGCCAGGGTGGCTAGGCACTGTGCAGGGTCAGCCCCTGCAGAAGGCTCGCGTGGAGTATCACCCACCCTAGAACTCACATCGGGCTGTGAGGCAGGGAGCTGGCATGTACTTGCTTGGCCAGCGCTCAGCTGCCCTGCAAGGGGGCAGTACCTCCATCCCTTCCGTCGTCCACCACCCTGGGAGGTGGCAGAGGGAGGAGCCTGCACCCCAGCACCCTGGGTTAGGGGGAGGAGCCTGCACCCCAGCACCCTGGGTTAGGGGGAGGAGCCTGCACCCCCAGCACCCTGGGTTAGGGGGAGGAGCCTGCACCCCCAGCACCCTGGGTTACAGGCCTCTGTAGTCCCTTCCTCATCACCCAGAGGAAGCCCTTCTCCCTAGACCAAGTTAGATGTCCAGGGTGGCTGAATGGAGAAGCCAGGGTTGGGGCAATGAGGGGGAGGGTGGACGGGGAGACGGCACTGCAGCCCAGGCCTCTGCCCAAGGGCCCGGGGCTGAACGTGGACCTCAGGTGGAATACCCCCGGATGCAATCGGGAAGCACAAAGCACAGCAGGACAGGAAGCGGGGCTGGGCTCCCACGGCCAACGGGCAGGCAGGCCGCAGCACCCCACAGAACTACGCCATGCCAAGCTCAAGTCCAGCCAATGTGTGCAGGCCTCAAATGGCTGCCGCCACGTGCCTAGTCATCCTCCTGGCCCCAGCCACAGGGGTCAAGCAAGGGGCTCCCAGAGGGTGGTGGGAGCTTGCCCCACGGCTGAGGGCCACTCGTGCGCTGGCAGAGGCAGGGCACGGGCAGCCTCATGCACCTGCGCAGAGCAGACCTGGCAGCTGAGCCAACGGTACTGGCCAGCTCCCAGGAGGCCTGGCTATGAATAGCCAGACTTCTCACAGCAGGGACGGGCGGGGCCCTGGGAAAGGGTGACGTGGGCCCCTGCCAAGCTGCCCCACCTCCCCTGTTGGTATAAAAACCTCAGCTGCAAAATTTAGCCCAGGCTCAGTAGCACAGGAAGTGGTGGCGGCCCCACACAGGCCAGACCTGTACAAGGCTGCAGGCCCGCCCGCCTGCCGTGCTTCTGGCCAGGGACACCACACACGGCAGGGCCCTGGCTGACTCCATCACAGCAGGTGGAAATCAGCAAAGCTGTAACACACCAAGAAACTCCTACCCATTACTGAAATGCCAGGAGCAGCAGACCCGGGAGCCTGCAGGTGCCACCACAGCACCCTACCTAGTGGGCACAGGAAATACTGGGCCTGGGCTCTGCCATCACAGTGACCCAAAATGCCAAGGCCATTCCAGCTGACTCTGAGCCAGGAGCCTGCCCGGCCCTGAGCGGGCATGAAGGCAGAAGGGAGGCTGGCTGCAGTGGGGCTGAGGAAGGCAACCCAGGCAGGACGAGGCAGGACGAGGCAGGACGAGGGAGGACGGGGAGGACGGGGAGGATGGGGAGGACGGGGAGGACGGGGAGGATGGGGGAGGACGGGGCAGGACGGGGCAGAACGGGGGCAGGCATGGCCGAGCAGTTCTGTCTTGTCAGAGGATGGTGGGAAGATGGCAGGTGTGGGTACAGCAAGGCAGTCAAGTGAGCAGCGAAGCCAGAGCAGGGGTATATGGGAACAGAGGGTCCCCACACAGGACCCCAACGTGACACACCAAGGCCAGCACCCCGACTTGGCCCCAGCAAACCCAGGCACACGCCTGCCACTGCAGCTTGATGCCATGGAGTCTCAGCACCCCCAACTCCATCCCTACCTCCAGGCAGCACAGAGGCCTAAGTCGAAAGTCCTGCCCTTTAGCCCACCCACGGCTGTTCCCAACACTAAAACATCACAGGCAACCTGACCCTGAAGACCAATAAACTCCACCCTGCCCTGTCCAGGGCCACAGCCCACAGTTAAGCTAAGATTTCAACAGGGCAGTCTTTCAGGTGGGTGTGCTGGTTCAGCGAGCTAAGCCAGCACATGAGATACCAGCACCCCACACGGGAGCCTGTCCCGGCACCCCGCACGGGAGGCTGTCCCAGCACCCCACACGGGAGCCTGTCCCGGCACCCCACACGGGAGGCTGTCCCGGCACCCCGCACGGGAGCCTGGCCCGGCACCCCGCACCGGAGCCTGGCCCGGCACCCCGCACGGGAGCCTGTCCCGGCATCCCGCACGGGAGGCTGTCCCGGCACCCCACACGGGAGCTTAGCCCAGCCCTGGCTGCTCCACTTTAATTGGAAAGGCAGATTTTTTTTTTTATGCTTTAGATTAACCTTTATTTAGAAATTGCTCCCATCAGCCAAACCCAAAAATTCAATTCTCAGCAAGTTCCCGAGGCGAACCCGGGAATTAGCACTGCACCCGAAGGCCCGCCAGACCCTTCCCGGTACACCCTTCCCGGGCCTCCATGCAGCTGCCTCGCGCTGCCTTGAGGCCTGGAGGGCCACCCCATTCACTCGGCGCCATTCTCAGGGGTGGGAAAGGCAGATTTACAGAAAAAATAAGATGGTTCACACAGAGAAAGATCTTCCGTCCACTGGTTCACTCTCCAAGTAGCCATAATGGCCAGAGATGAGCTGATCTGAAGTCAGAAGCCAGGAGCTTCCTCAGGGTCTCCCATGTGGGTACAGGGTCCCAAGGCTTTGGGCCGTCCTTGACTGCTTTTCAGGGAGTTGGATGGGAAGTGGAGCAGGTGGGACACGAACTGGTGACTACATGGGATCTCAGCAGTTGCAAGCAGAA